AAGCGCAGGCTCTTATTCAAAGTCAAATTCAGATGAAAATCAGGTGCCGCTGGTTATGGCTACTACGGGCCGCCGGAGGCGGCTTCTGCACCTCGTACGCGCGCGCCGCCAAAGTGTACTAACTGTGGAACTATTGGGCATATACGGACTCGATGCCTAATCGCTCTAATTCATAATTTTTGTAAATAATTGCTGTTTTGGGTAGTAATAAAACTTCAAATTCTGCACAGTATTTGAAGGTGCGGGTGGGTGATCGGAGCGACCGGGTGATCGGAGCGGCCGGGAATTACGTTATCTAATTAATAATAACTACTATATAGCTAAGATAACTAATAGCTATATTAACTTTAATTAGTAGTGATAATTAATAGCTATAGGCTATTATAATAGCTAGATAGCTAATTTAACTAATGACTAATATATAGCTAATAACTATAATAACTTAACTATTATATAGCTTAGCTTAGCTTAACTATAGCCTATAAGGCTAGGGAAAAAAGAATTATAATATAATATAATAGGTTATAGTAGCCTATATATAAGTAATCTCTTAATAAGGGTCATATATAAGATATAATTAGGGAGGAAAAGGAGGAGGTTTATGGCTATATATATAAGGAGGTTAATATAGGTACTTACTTAGGTGCACTAGCTAAGCAGAGGGTATAGCAGGAAGATTCAGTGTAGATTCAGTGGGATTCTGCAGGTTGAGATTCAGGAGCTTCAGGGCCTTGCAACTTTTGCAAGGGCAAAGCCTGAGCCCTATCTCCTGCAGGCTCTGGCCTGTGACAAATATGACCTGCTGGCACTTGGCTAATTGGCTGACAGATCCAAGTAGGAAATAATCAAGTAGCTCAATATTATCAATTAGGAGCTTATAAGTACATATTAGGCCTCTTAATTACTTAAAGAAACTGTAAAAGATCTTGCATAGAGTAATAAGCAAAGACAAACCATGATATAAGGGCGAAAAGTCGTACATAGCCATTTACAAAATCAACCCTTTCCCAGCGCTTATCTAATTTTTTTTCCCAAGATCAAATGCGCAAGATCAATCTGTGAATTCTACTTCTCTGGTGCATCAGGGAGTCGTTCTATGACATATTTCCCCCGTGCAACACTCATGATCGGTACACCTGGTATTTTCCTGTTGCCAAAAACATTGGATCAGAAACTTAATTTCACTGTAACCATAGTTTCCATCTGAAAAGCCACTTACCGTATCCGCCTTTTCAGATCTCGATCGTTGGTTGCCACAATGTATACACGATGTTTGATGACTCTGTCAACCAAGCAATCGTCTGCGTAAGTGCCTTTATGATCACATTTTACCCTTTCAAATCTCGGATCCTTCGCGACTCGCAATGCAAGTCGATATTTTTGGCCTAGTTTCTCTAATTCGGCAAGGACACAGTCCGTAATGATAGGAATACATTTTGCATAGAGACAGTCCATCATAGTCGGAATAACTTCCAGCTTATGCTGGATGGTGTGATAGAGAAAATTGGTGTCCACTAATACTGAATATGGTGGTGTGAGAGCTGTATTGTATTGAAAGAAAAGAGAGGAGGGAACCTGGGGTCTTGGAAGGCAAAGATTCAGTAAATCTTAACACGGCATAGCATTGCTTTGATGGTAAATAATACACTTACATTTCTCGAACAATATCATTCCCCTTTGTTTCATTTTTTGGCTGGTTCTCCTTCCTGGAATGACAGCTGTTATTAGCGAGTTCTTGAAACAAAAACAGGACTACGCACAAACGGCTGTCTCGCAGACCGATTGCTCGCTTCACTTGAGCAAATTTCCTGGTTTTCTTCTGTACTCCCATTTTTCTCTCTGTCAAGATCCGTAAAGTAAGACTGTGTTTAAAATAAAACCTGAGAAGTCAAGAAATGTGTTGCAGGAGTTCTCAACAACTCCTAGTCGAGCTTTAACATGATTTGAATTATTTGATTTGTGTCTTAACAGATCTGCATAAATTACAGGCCTGATCGGGTCCCAGTTCGGCGTAGGTAGAAAAAACTCCGGGTAGATAGAGGTTTTTCCGAACCCCACTACAACCCACCCGCGCGTGACTGCCAAGAAAGCCCAGCCTGAATCCTGGATTCCTGATGCACTATACCTACCTTAGGTAGCTGGAGGCAACTTTATAAAGTCAGTAGCCAATCACATTAATGTAACAATGCCATAGGAGATTCGCTGCAGCCACTCAAGCTCAGGAGGATCTACAGATTAAATGGTCTGTTATGAGAAGCTTGGGCCACATTGCAAATTCGAATTGTTAAATACCTTCATGACAATAAAAGTGAGTCGGTAGGTAATTGCCAAAACTCTCACAAGGAGATTCACTCTTGAATGGAATTTTCAACTGAGTGGCAGTAATTTTTAGGCATTTTGTTTGTCAGTGTTGGCACTAGTCATAAAGAGATAGAGAGAGTGAGAGAGAACAAAGAAGGGCCAGAATTGGCGTGTCTTTACTGCTCAAATTATCGAGGATGGGCATAGCTCATTTGACACGGCACTTAGTCTCATTTTCAGAGCCAATACGTCTGGGCGGCTATGGAAAGGCACCGGAAGATGGTACTAAGGCTGTGACATCAGTGGTTATCGATGGACCCAGCCTGGTTCACCATATTTCTTCAACATTGCTGTCTTGGTTAGATGCTCACCTCAACCCATTTGATCGGGAGCCTACATGTGAGGAAGTCAGTATTGCTGTGATGACTTATTTGGTACAGCTGAGAATTGCCAATGTACATGTGTAAGTCCACGCGCACTTTTCTCCTATCCCTTCAGACACTGTTGGAGATACTCTGTTCCATTGTCACCAGTGCTTGTTTTTTAGACGCTTTTTTTGGTTAGCGAATTCTAGTACTCGACTCACAAGAGGCTGTTAGTGTTAAGATCTACTTTGATGGGGCGTTGCCCTTGTCTAAACGAGACACTAGGCTTTCTCGGCTTGAGAAATCCAGAAGAAAGCTTGAGGCTTTCTGCACAAGCAATCGGAAAGGGTTCAAGGCATCCAGGGCCGGACGAGAACCGTTATTGATTGATCCTTACAAAGTCTTACAAAGCCGCAGTGTACCAGAGAGGTATAAAAACCTGCCTGGGAATCCATTTATGGTATCTGCTGTATTTGAAGATCTCAAATTCCGCTGGAATTGGTCCAAGATCAAGGAAACGTCGGAAATCTTTGCGGCGACATCCCTTTTCAAAGACTCAGACTATCCCTGGGCGGACATTTGTGAAATGATCCCAGGGGAGGCCGACATCTACTGTGCTGAATTATTGAAGGAGAAGCAGGGAGCAGCTGTTTTAACAAACGATTCCGATCTCCTGGTCCATGACCTTGGAGCTCAAGGTTCGGTCATATTTCTGAACTCTGTTGAGATGAAAAGTTGGAATCCCAAATGTCCTGCGGACGCGGAAATAAGAGCTATGGCGCTCTGCCCAGCTGCCTTATCGCGACGACTTGGTATCCCTGGCATGCGGTATCTTGCATATGAACTAAAACTTGATCCACGCGCTGGTATTCGAGAGCTGATCCGTCGCGCAAAACTTGTGTCTGAAACGGCAGAACGAAGTCCCGCTTACATTCAGTTCATGGAGGAGTATTGCTCTCATAAAGAATTCACATATCGTCCAAGCTTTGACCCAAGCGTTTTGCAAACTCTTGACGCGAGAGTATCAGAACTCGTCTTACAATATGTCTCGGAGCCGTCATTAGGTGAAGATATGCCTCAGATATACTTTTCAGTTTTGCATGAGGACCATTCTAGGCGATCTGCATGGATTGAAGGAAGAAATATTAGATGCCTCGCTTACTCCCTACTCAATACGCTTCGTACTTCCCAAGAAAGATATCCTGTCGTTGTTGAATGTGTTCGCAGGGGCTGCAGATTCTGCTTTGACGAAATAGGTCTCTACGACGACGACAGTATTGAATTGGAGCTGCGCACTCTTCTAAGTCGGTCAAGATTTGTCCAGGAAATGACCGGACAAGATCCCAGTTCTTCAATCTTTTGGAGGATTTACGCAATAAATGAACTTTATAACTGCAATAACAAGACTCCCATACCCCCGAGCCGAAAGCAATTAGAGAAATTACTTGCTTTCGAGTATGCAGACGAGAGGATGGAGTGGACTGATATTCATGCTCTTGCACAGGTGCAGGCAGTTTTATATTCTCTGAGAATTTTAACACAGATACTTCATGTTATACCAGTGCATGGAGGAACCAAAAGAGAGGCCCAAATACTGTTGGCGAATCTTCCACCACTCTGTGTCCTTATGAGATCACGGAGTGAGTTATATCGTGAGTTACATTGTGAGGTGTCAAGTGAACATGCTAGCAATAGGTCTGCAAACATGATTCATAGCGTCCAGGAACTTATTGGCACACAATATACTGAAGAATGTTGCTAAAAGCTAAGGGTAACTAAGCTAATAGCAACATTTAAATGGGGCACAAGAAGAAACAAGGTCTGGGATATGATTTTCTTAGCAATATTGCTAAATTACATTCTGAGATGGATTACCAAATACATATATATTCTTTGTCAACAAGAGACAGATTTGTTCTCTAGGATTTGGTAATATATTAGTGATTAGCAAAGAAATGGAGATAATCAAAGAGTAAGAATTTTTTAAAAAATGGAGCAATTGGACAAACAGGTCATAAGTCCCTTTTTTTTTAAAAAAAAAGTACTAACATCATGGTGCATATGATAGCATAGAATTGTCCCTGGTAGTAATGCAGTTTACAAACTTTCTTTAAAGATGCTCTGTTCTGTCAAACTGTCTTCACCATGGACCCTGGCTCTTTGTATTCCCTCTGCTATATTGGCTATGGACCAAAAGTTAGGATATCTGAGCCAACAGTGTTCTGCATTGTCTCCAAATGGGTCTCAGAGACCATTAGACTTAGCATCTTTCAAGACCAGTCCTGTAGATTACTTATTGTCCTAACACATATCATTATTGTTGCAGGACATGGTTGATAGCCCTGGCCTCCTGTGACTATTTAGTGCTTTATACGGTTCATTGCTAAAGGTCCTGTCCAGTTCGCTCTTCATATAAACCAGCCGGCCCATATGTATCTGAGCCATTGCCTATCCTTACATTCCAAGGCTTGTTAGCATCAACTCCTTGCCTTCCATGTATATCACTCTTCATAGGCTCCACAAGCAGTACAGCGGTTTTTGAACCCCATGATATGGTCTGTAACCAACTAACAAGGCTGCCATGTTATGGCAAGGAGTAGCTAGTGCCCCTATATGGCAGTACAGAAGTAAACAGGACTATAATTTCTAATACAGGGGTGGTAGAACATCACATCAAGCTTTGTAATGGATCTAACTGACCCATCTAGAGTAGGCAATAATAACAACAAGGGAGGGGATAATGAAGGATAGTCCCCAGGTGTGCAATTTTTTTTATTGATTAAACAGTATACAAGGATATTCAGATTGATGGAAAAAGTGTTACAGCTTCATCTTTAGGATTAGATTGTATGGTAGTATAATATCAATTTTCATGTCAACAAAAGTATGTGTGGCTAATAGGTTAGGTGTGAACTACAGGGTGATGACCTTTTTCTCTTTTTTTTTGGACTAAAAATTATCACATTATTGTGAGGTACTTTGGGGATGTGTTGATTCACATGTAAAATATTGCAAATCTTGACATTGGGGTAAGAATGAGACAGCAATAAAATCAGAATTTAATAGCTGTTGATTTCCCTGGGTGAGACCCAGTTGTTACCCTTGTTGTCATCTCATACGTTGCTTCAGCAACATTATCCCAGCCTTAGACAGTGAAATAAATTTGGCCAGGCGGCTAGTAGCTATATGAGCTGATGAGTAACCAAAACCAATGTAAGAATAAAGAATGCTGGGTGGGGGAGGGGGAGGAGAGAGAGAGAGAACAGTGGTAGTTAGCATTTGGCCAGGAAACAATATCTGGAGTTGCAAGGTGGCTTATAAGTACATACATGTACATTTAGTATAGATATTCTTACAGATCACTGTTATACATATATATGAAAATAACAAAGGGTGGTTGCTAATAAACCTACCATACATATATGTGTATATATAATAGTGACTTCCTCCAGATGTCACAGGATCGCCGAACTTGTAGTTATGTGATATATCACTAGTTAATACTATAAATGCTTGGGAGGTACCCTGATACATATATAATGCTATGTCACATATACATATATGCACACATAAACATACTACATAGGAGCCTCATGTGTCACCAGATAACCCAACTTACACCCTAAATCAAATAATATGCCGCTTGTAAATCTATCATTCTAAGCCTCTCAGGCATGCTCCATAAACCTGAAATTACATTGCCATATCTGATGTATTTTCTATTTCAAATTTGAACAATGACCTTGAATCTTTCGAAACAGCTCCGTGCGATTCTGGCTGTTCCGTTAGTCATCGCAATAAAAGGCGTAGGAGTTTCTCATTGAATCAAGTCAATAGTCATGCCCTTGTAGTAGATTAAACTACTACCGCGCTGATCGCAAAAACCAGACAACTCCTCGGCAATAGCCTATTAAATCTGACAGACGCTTAGCTTCCCTTTGCTGCTCGAACTTCCAAGCCGCTAAGGCAGCTTGTAGCATCTGCAAAGACTCATCTTCGCCATTTGTTGTTTCCCAAACCCTACCAATGACATCACCATGAACCCTCAAAAAGACAGCCATCCATGTGTTAACGAGTTCAAAGTCTCTCTTTGACCTGAGCCGTTCCGTGAGAGCGGTGACAAAGTCAACAATTTCGCAACGACCATCTCTCATCCGTACATCAAGAGATCGGATTTCCAAGTCAACCTTTGCGGGTGATAATGATTTAAAATAATCAATGAACGAGGTGAAATTGTGACAGAGTGCACCGGTCTTTAGGAGGTTGCTAATATGAGAACCATGTAGCGAAAGCTTTCCGGACTGTTGCATTTTAGCAATCCGCGAGCGTTCAGCTGCTGTAGTCTCGGAACCAGAAGTTATATGCAGGTCAATATTTTGGACGTCAACGGCGGTTGATTGCTGCCCCTTTTTATCAATAAGAGAAGGAAGGAAAAAGGGCGCCTTCTCTGGGGCCTTTGGTGGCTCTTTTGGTTTATTACGCTCCTGTTATTCAATTAGTCAGGAATACAAATAGCATGTCTCGAAGAGGATGTACCCTAATCATGTCGAGATGGAGTAATGTCTGCCATGAGCTTTTGGGAATAACGCTCAAAGTCATCATATCTCGGTGAAGTTGGTCGACGGAAGTGACCGATCTTTCCTGCTCGCTATATTCAATACCATCTTCAAACGCCGCTTCAATAATCCCAGAACCAAGCTCCCCGGACGTCGTGGGGCTCCAAGCTTCCGTGATGTCATTTTCATCGATATGCTTTTGGGGCAAATTCAAAAATAGAGTCTTGTTATTCCAGACGTTGATGCCCGCCCCATCTGCGTGAGCAGTAACGAGAAATTCTCCTGTGCCTGAAATGGCCAGCGCTGTACATGTAGCCGCTACTTGGAAGGCATCAATTAGATGCCCTGTTGGCAAATCCCAGACTCTGATAATAGAATCCATCGAAGCAGCAATGACCCATCTGCCATCACTGGAAAAGGTGAAGTCATTGATCTGGCCCCTACAGCCCCAAAACTCGCGGACAATCTTCTTAGTCTCAACATCCACAACACGGATGGAATGATCGTCGCAGCTGAATGCCACCAGTTCGCTTGCGTTACTATACCGAAGGCCAGTTATAGCTGTCATAGGGGACCAGTCTAATTCACTGACCAACCGTCCAGAAACAAAATCCCAGAACTACATACAAATTTAGCATGAATCTCCCGATTAAATGCGAGTAACTGTACCTTGACTTTCCCATCTAGTCCGCAACTCACAAGGTTTCGATTTAGGCTATCGACTGCTAGCCCTGTCACTGCTTTCGTGTGCTTCTCTTTTGTATTAATTTGAATGCCATTTGGTGCGTATGAATGAACTGACGATGCAGCTCCAGTTTGCATTTGTGTGCCTTTGCTTTTGGAAGATCTGAGAGGTCCCGGGAATCTCTGTCGATGAATGCCGGATTGTAAATTAAACATGTCTATACAGCCGCCTGCTGAACCAATGACAGCAAACGTTCCGCATGCCGAAATTGCTACACTCTGTATGATGTCAGTGCATCAACTTGGACGAGGTATTGCCATACACACCTTGACCTCAGTCCCGTCACCCGTTTCGAAAGCCCACCTACCAGCCCTCTTCTTACCCCAAAACCAAGTACGAGCGTACTTGTCTCCTCGATGGGCGGTCACAATGCTTTCCCATCCGTTTGCATTGTTCCCGTCAGCCTTGAAATCTCTCGAATTTGCCCAAATAGGCTGGGAGGCCATAGCCCCCATCCCCCCGTCACGGTTGAGAGAACAGGCAATAGCTGTTATTTCCGGGGCTTTGAGATCCTCCGATCTTCTGCCTTTATCATCGGCTACACTGAATGCGTCAAGTCTTTTTGCTTTGCTCCTCACGCTGCCCTGGGATAGCTCAACGTTTTGACCGTCCTTTCGTAAGCTAAAGCCCCAGAGACTACGATCTTTCGATGCACTTAATAACCATTTCCCCACCGATTCGGAACCGTCAGAGGAAGCCGGAAGAAACTTGAGAGCAGTAACTGCTGCAGAATGCCCACTTCTCGAATGAAGAGGCCTTGGGATTGGTGAAAACGGCGTCTCGTCGAAAATCCAGGACCTCAGGGCGTTGTCTTTCCCAGACGAGATCAAAATTGGTTGGCCATCCAGGAACTCAATTCGATTGATCCCGCATTCACTGGTTTCATCAGATATCTCGTGTGCTGCTCTAAGAACCCCGGCTTTCTTGCCTCCTTCGTTGAGATCCCATATGGTAATATCGCCGCTATTAATTGTAGCTGTGGCCATGACACCTGCCTTCCTCCCATCATCACCTGCGCCTAACCCGTCGCTTCGGAACGTTATAGACGTAATTGGAGAGGCGTTGGAAAGAGATTGTTTTAGTGAGATAATTGGCTGATCTGAATCCACATTGTGAATTACCAGAGCACCACTCTTGTAAGCAATAGCAAGGAGAGACAGTGCGGGGGTCGGTTGTAACGCTGTCACGGCACCATCGTTAGGTGACCTTGGAAGAATGCTATACAGGAGCTTCCCGGTACTCAAGTTCCAGATATCGACGTTGCCATCATATCTTCCAACGAATATCTTGTTTAGATAGATTGGCATATTGCATATTCTTCCTGTGAAGACAGGCGCCCCAGAGGATTCCGAGGTATTTGCCGCATTCAATGTGGTATAGTGTTCATAGGACGTAGACTTCCAGACTTGTATATTCCTTTCACAGCAACCGACAATCCATGATCCAAAAACTAGGATTTGGAGAATAGGCCCGGTGAGACTTGACGTTGTCTCGAGAGCCGCAATCTTTTTCCCGCGTTTGAAAACCCACACCCCTACCGGGCTACCAGGTCGAAGGCCTCCCCAAGCCGCAAAGACTAGTTCCTTCCAGGCATACGTAGCAGTAATGAGCTCGGGCGTCTGAGGTCGGCTCAAGAAAATAAGATTCAAGCCACGTCTCAGGTCGTACGTTTGTAACGAGTGCCCAACGGACGTTGTTATCTGAAATGTTGTTTTCCCCAAACGGACACATGTGAATGGAACAGTAGTTGGTGACACCAGGCCTAAGGTCTATCAAATGCAAGTTAGCCAGTCATGTCGCGCGCATGCATAATGATAAGTCGGAGAAGCTTACTCTGAATGGGGAAAAAATTCTAGAGCCAGACTGCTGTTTTGAAGGATTTTTTGATGGTGTTAGTTTCACTCTCTTTGCCAGAGGCAAATCAAATGCCTCGTCAACGACGGACGGCATTGTGCTTCCAGTTTGGAATTTCGTTCCAAGTTGGGAAGAAGGAAGAGGGGAAAAAATTATTCTCGCGGATGCTTTTTGTGGTTAAGGTTAATAACTGCAGCGAAAAAAAAAATCTTGGCCGCTTTAGCATGGAGTACTTGCGTCTAGCGTCAGATTGACTACCATTGGCTGAATTCGACAATTTAAAGTAGTGTTGCTTACGGGCCCGGTGCGTTAGTACTTAACCGAACTACGGAGTATTTTAGTATTAGTATTATTATTACTCTGTATTCAACAGCCACGCCGCACATACTCCGATTTAGGTGCTTTAGTTGTATCCCGGTAAGTTACAAGTACTGTACATACCCCGAGTTCTCATTTCTTGGATTTCTTAACATTTTCTCAGCTTTTTTTATTCTTTTCTTTCTTGCGAGACCTTACATTTGACTACATAGATCACATACTTAGTGTATACCAGAATTTGATTTCTGTTGCAATCTTAGGGCGATTTTACTTAGGTACAGAGTTGTTATTACATGAACCAAGCTTATATCATAGCTGTGGGACCGGCTACCTATAAAAGCTTAAAAACCTAAGGTCGGAAAACTTTTTGAGGTTATCTTGGATCTCCGGGTGGCGATTGTCCATGCGTCCAACATGACCTTGACAGATAGGTATCATTCAGAGATCTACTGGCCAGACATGAAGGTGTGATAGAAGAAGTGAATTTCGCGACCGTCAGATCAGAAATCCACTTAGTTCGACCGGAGTATCAATCCCGGTACGTCATGGTAATTGGTGAAGTTAGACTAGCAGAGCTGATGCCTGGGTTCAAAGATCTGAAAGATTTTACAATCATCACTTGCGAGACAGCAGAACCGTGAATCAAGTCGTGTCATTATGGCTACCGGCTCCAGCTCCAGCGGGACGTCAGATCAAAACCTATTCCCCCCTGCTAACAATCAAACGCGGCCAGATGCATTGTTGGACCAGGGCAGCCGCGAGAGACAACAGCTCCATTCCCCGACAAGCTTTGAACCGGATAGCAATGAGGAAGTTCAAAACGAGTCGAGACAAAATATCAGTGAGCCATGCTGGCTGGAATCATCTTCAACAACATCGGTAAATGACTCTGTCGAATATTCACTTCAATCCCCAAGACACAATAGTAATCTGCATGACTCCGAACGACCTTCGTTTTCCTCACTTTACTCTCTCGGGTCAGGTAGTCATACTGGCTCTCATACGCCGCCCCATGATGCTGCCTCGCTTAAAAGTGGCACAGATGACAGTGCGAAACCTGCTGCATGTTCTTCCAATAATGGCTATGTCCGAATGGAGAACAAGTCTTCAGCTCTGTCTCCTGAATCCTCTGCTGCTCGCCCAGCTTATCCTGCTCCCAATCCTACAAACGGCTCTAATGGACCTCATATTTCACGAAGTGAAGCAACTTCTGAAGCACGGCAGACTAGTCGCATATCACGTTCCACCCGTTCATCAAGTAGAGCACCGAGAAGATTGAGTGGGAGTACAGCTGCTAGCTCTGCCAGCGATATGGAACCAAAACCGCCCTTTATCGGGAGGATCGGTGTTTGTGCTCTAGATGTCAAAGCCCGCAGCAAACCGAGTCAAAATATCCTTACTCGTCTTCAATCAAAAGGAGATCTGGAAGTTATTGTCTTCGGTGATAAAGTCATCCTGGATGAAGCGGTAGAAAACTGGCCGATATGCGACTTTTTGATAGCTTTCTTTTCCGATGGGTTTCCTTTGGACAAAGCCATTGCCTATGCCAAACTACGAAAGCCGTTCTGCGTCAACGATTTGCCCATGCAGAAAGTTTTATGGGATCGCAGACTTTGTCTGAAAGTACTGGATCAGATGGGCGTTCCTACACCAAAGAGAATTGAGGTAAACCGTGACGGTGGGCCGACTTTGGAATCTCCTGAACTCGCACAACATGTCTACAACTTAACCGGCGTGAAACTCGAGGGTCCTGAAGACGGAACTGGTGGAGGAGCTACCAAGACGCAGACGGTGTCACTTTCTGATGATGGAGAGGCGCTCATTGTCGATGGAAAGACATTCAGAAAACCATTCGTTGAAAAACCAGTTAACGGAGAAGACCATAATATTCACATCTACTTCCCGAAAGATCAGCAGTACGGCGGTGGGGGAAGAAGGCTCTTTCGAAAAGTTGGAAATAAGAGCTCCGAATATGATCCCAATCTTGTCGTGCCAAGATCCGTGACCGAGAAAAATACCAGCTACTTATACGAACAGTTCCTGAGAGTTGATAACGCGGAGGATGTGAAGGCCTATACAGTTGGTCCCGACTTTTGCCATGCTGAAACACGCAAATCACCTGTGGTTGATGGAGTAGTGCGGCGAAACACACATGGTAAGGAATTAAGGTATATTACGAACCTCAGCAAAGAGGAAGCTGCTATGGCCGCAAAGATATCAAATGGATTTGGCCAGAGGATTTGTGGTTTCGACATGCTTCGGGTAGGAGACAGAAGTTATGTCATTGACGTCAATGGGTGGAGTTTTGTCAAGGACAATAATGATTACTACGATAAGTGTGCAAAGATCCTTAGAGAGATCTTCCTGAATGAGAAGCGCAGAAGGGATGGATATGGATTGCCACAGCAATTGGACCCTCCCTCGCCAGATACGAGTTCTTCCAAGAGGAGTAATACGGGCTCTCACAGAAATGCATTGAAGACCCTTCTAAAGTCCCCGAGCATGTCGAGACTTCATGGTACTCAACATAATCACAGAAGCCACGGAATTGTGCCTCCAGATACCGTCGTTGCCCAAGGATCACTGACATCACCATCGGGAAGTGACAACGGCAATTTCGCAAAATCCTCAACAGCCTATAGTCACAGAGAAGAGCTACCAACCCCGGCCAGTGTCAATGTACCCAGTACCAAGTCGCCTGCTCTTTCGGTGTCAAACGATGAAGGCAATCCCCCTCCCCCAGCATCCAAGCATTCGTGGAAGTTGAAGGGCATGGTAGCAGTCATAAGGCATGCAGATCGTACTCCGAAACAAAAGTTCAAATTTACCTTCCATAGCCAGCCTTTTGTCGACTTATTAAAAGGCCACCAGGAGGAAGTCGTTATCAAGGGCGAGGCTGCCTTAGCAAGTGTCTCTCATGCGGTCAAAGTCGCCATGGACCAAGGACTGGAAGACATGGAGAAGCTCAAGCTTCTTCGCACTTCCCTGGAGAGGAAAGGTAGTTGGCCTGGAACGAAGGTCCAGATAAAACCAATGTTTCGCAAGCGGAGACCTGAAGAAATGCGCGAGGGGATGTCTCAGACGAATCCATTGACAGGTTCTCTTCAGAGTGGTCCTGAAGAGCCCATTTCGCCTGGGAACGATGCTTCTCCCGATAACGAGAACTTAACTCGCTCGCAAACAAGAAGTGACTCCATTTCTGGTGCCACTTTTTCCCGGTTTTCAGCTGTTGAGAATGATCTCATTCTAGACAAACTCCAGCTCGTTATCAAATGGGGAGGGGAGCCTACCCATGCTGCTCGTTATCAATCTCAAGATCTTGGTTTGAATATGAGGGACGATTTGAAATTGATGAACAAAGAAGCTCTTAACGATGTTCGGATATTTACCAGTTCGGAGCGCAGAGTTAGCACCAGCGGTGAGTAGTTAGATGAACCGAAATCCTCACATGTTAAAACGCTGACTTTTGCTGAAGCCCAAATCTGGGCTTGTGCATTCCTTGACGAAAAGGAACTTCCTGATGACTTCATACAAGTACGAAAGGATCTCCTTGATGATTCAAATGCTGCCAAGGATGTCATGGACAAGGTTAAGAAGAAGTTGAAACTTCTTCTCAGAGAAGGGTCTGCTCCTTCACAATTTACCTGGCCGAAAGATAATTTTCCAGAACCCTCGGTTGTTCTTGCGACGGTTGTGGAATTGATGAAGTTCCACAGAAAGGTCATGCGTCACAACTTCAAGAAGCTTTCCCGCTCCCAAAGTCTGCTCCAACAAGCTGCAAGGGCAACAGAGAATGCTTCTGCACAGCATCAGCCAAAAGTCTATGACAATTCTGCATTGGCAGCTATTCAGGGACGCTGGTGTGCAGGTGAGGACCCTAATTTATTCAAAGAGAGATGGGAGAAACTCTTTGCGGAGTTTTGCGATACGGAAAAAGTCGACCCTAGCAAGCTCTCGGAGCTTTATGATAGTATGAAGTTCGATGCTCTTCATAATCGACAATTCTTGGAATGGGTCTTCACACCTCCGGACGACTTCGATGACAGCAATAGCGGGATCGAACAGTATGACTCTCTCCAAAACGGCGAAGAGGGCGACAGAGGCAAGGCTGAGGAAAGAGCTGACAACAACACCTTTGCACATCGATTCGGGCTGAAGAGAAGGGCGCAGACAGTTTTGGAGTCAATGCAGCAATTCGGAAGTCTAGAGGACGCTTATGATCATTACTTCAAGCTGCAAAGCAGTCCCAGCTCGAGACAGACGAATGCGAATGAACGGCTGTCGAAACTCAGAGAATTGTATAAACTAGCGAAAGTTCTTTTCGACTATATCACACCACAAGAATACGGAATCACGGACAGTGAAAAACTAGAAATCGGACTTCTGACATCTTTGCCATTGCTTCAGGAGATTGTTCGGGACCTGGAGGAAGTCCAGGCCTCGCCAAATGCTAAATCATTTTTCTACTTCACAAAGGAATCACACATATACACCTTACTGAATTGCATTCTCGAAGGTGGAATTCAGACCAAAATTGCGAGGAGTGCGATTCCGGAGTTGGACTACCTGTCCCAGATCTGCTTTGAGCTTTACGAGGCTAAGGACAGTGAGACTGACACATTTTCATACTCAATTCGCATTTCCATTAGTCCTGGCTGCCATACGTTCGATCCGCTCGACGTGCAGCTCGACTCGAGGCATGCACTTGGATGCGCTCCTCGCAGAAGTCTGACGGCGCATCAGGACTGGAAAGAAGTCATTGAAACTCTCAAGGCAAAATTCGACACGTAAGATCCCTATCCAGGGTAACTCTGATGCTTTAAAGACTCAACTGACTGTATGCCAGTGTGAAACTCCCTAAAACGTTCATCGCTGTGAACTTGAGTGATAAGCATGCCGCCAACAGAATAGAATCCCTCACAATGTAACTTGTTCTGGCATGATCTGTCACAATGTCTTCTCTTATTGCCCTCAACCCCTAACTTTGGCTGCATTGCATAGTCATTTATTTTAAAGAGATTATGTAACTTAGACGGAGGGTGTATTCGATTTCCAAGCTGCCAGGAATATTACTAATAAGCACCGGATTTTTTTTACACTTGGTTGTGCTAATGTGACCCCGCCTGTGCCACATGCCAGGGATAGACCTCACACGCCACAGTTTGCAACCTGAAATGCCACTTATTTCGTTATCATGATTCATCTATGATGCATGTGGTTTTTATGCTTCAGCTTTGTGACCATCTTGGTACTTGGCTTATTGAGCTGTAGTGAAAGTAACTAAGGGGTTCCAAATGTTGAATGTTTTGGAAAGCTAACAACGCCCATCTTCAGACTGCAAATAACAGTTCTTTGGAAACTCTCTTGAGTGACCACCTGTGGACCAGATGCCTGAAATTCCGGGCTTCGTGGATGGCAAGGAGATCCGGCTGGAAGTAACTGATGGAAATCTCCAATGGCACGATGTTCAAAGACTTGAACAAGGTTCGATTGATGCCAGCGAGATAATCTGTGTCCTGCCACACCGTTCAAATCAGAATGGTGGCTTTGAAATCCTATTCGTCCACACATTATCCCAGCTACCCAAAACGGCACCAGAAAATGAATCGCCACGTCTAGGAACTTTATGGGCCTCAGATTTACCGCACTCCCTGTTGTCCCAACACCTTTGCGTTGACATACCAAATCACCTAAAACTGCCTTGTTCAGACGGGGAGGCGAACATCCACATTATAATATCTATACTTTCAGGGACAAGGCAGGCAAAGAGCTTCTTCCAAAATGTCTTTGAGCCCTTCCTGTCTCATCTGGGTGCGATCAACTATCAAGTTCACGAGACAAAATCAGAACAAACTATTCTTGAATTGGCTCGTTCATTATTTCTTCCTCGAGCTAGAAAGGGAATACCACAAACAATTGTATTGTTATCTGGGGATGGAGGACTCGTTGATCTCATCAGAGTCTTCTTTACTGAGAACGAGGCAGCGCCCATTGAGAATCCAAGCATTGCATTAATACCTTTGGGAACGGGTAATGCGATGGCGAATTCCATTGGCCTTCTTTCACGCCAAACGTTTGGACTTGAGACATTGTTGCATGGTGTACCTCGACCACTGCCAACATTTGTGGCTACATTCTCTCCACAGGCCAAATATGTTACGAACGAAGGCCGGGGACGAGAGGAGATAGGAACTGCTTCATCAGATCCTTGGGGGGCCAAAATTTACGGCGCAGTGGTCGCCAGCTGGGGACTCCACGCATCCCTAGTTGCAGACAGCGATACAGTCGAGTATCGTAAATTTGGACCCGACAGGTTCAAGATGGCAGCTCAGGAGCTCTTATTCCCTTCTGATGGTACTGAGACCCATCGGTATAAGGGGACCATCAAGCTTACCACCAGGAATGGGCCGGGTGGCGAAGGACATACAAGAACACTTGGCACAACGGATCACATGTACGTACTGACTACTTTGGTATCAAAGTTGGAGAAAGGATTTACGATATCACCGGAGTCCTCACCCTTGGATGGTCGCCTACGCGTCGTTTATTTCGCATCAATGCCTCCGAGAGAGGCAATGGATCTAATGGCTCTAGCTTACCAAGGCGGTCGTCATGTGTACCAGGATGTTGTTACTTACGAGGAGATCGAGAGCATCAAAATTGATTTTGATGAAGAGGATGAGAGATGGAGACGCGTTTGTATCGACGGCAAGGTGATCATGGTGGAACAAGGGGGCTGGGTTGAGGTGCGCAAGGAAACTAAAGAAGTGTTAAATCTAATTGTTCCTCTATAACCCAGTAGAGAGAACTGTCCTATTAATTCGACATTCTATGGATACTCTAGATACTCGCCTGGTAACCTCTCTTATTGCAGTACAGGCATGGTGTCTGTCATTATACGCCGAGCTGTTTACCTAGAAGTCCTACTAGATACATAGCATGATGACCATTTGATTAACTAACGCACAGTGGATTCCTCATATGCTTCAGCTTAGCTGTTAATGTTAGTGGTAATAGTAAGTTAGGTAACTTAAGAAATCTAAGGGCTGTACGGTATTTTTTTGGTATTTTTTTTCTCGAAAAAAGATGATTACTAAAAATAAGAAGAATCTCGTAATATCGTAAATTAGTTTAAAATACTTTTTAAATAATTGTTTTTAAAGTTCGATGATGATTGCCGATTTTTTTTCTTTTTTAAGGCAGATTGGCTGTAAATTGGAATTTCTGTACTGTATGTATGTACTATACTGTACATAGAAGTCCATGCCAATGGTTATCTGTTTCCAGGCGGGCTCACCACCAATATTCCTTACTATACATTATTGTGTTATTTCTTGTGTATTGGGTGGGCTTCCTAAGCATATTCCTTGCTACAATTTCTTGTTTGTCAGAACCCGCTATCTGCCTACACTTCTACTATGGGTTAATACTGGCTTCTCTATACGGAGTAGGCTTCCTTAAAGGCTTTATAATGGTTTACGTGCCAGGCTTGTAGAGGACCGAAGGTTCGGAGCATCTAGGTATAAGCCAATATAAGGCCATATATAGTGTGTCACATGCCCCATACCATGTGACTCCACCTTATATCCTGTACCATAGTAGCTGCCTAGCTTCTTAGCTTCTATACAACAACATCTAATGACTTTAATTTGACTTATAGATTTGCTCATTGTACTGAATCCCTTTTTCCTTCTGGGCTGTGCCTAACATAGTGTTAAGTAATAATATGCTCATGATAATAATTAACCTATGCAATGAAGCCCATATATAGAAAATAAAGCCTGTATATACTAGGTCAATAAATGGTATAAGCATTACTAAGCCCAGGCGTTCTTTCTCCTTCAAGCCTCGACGAGTGTAGCGACTAGCAAGTCTTGAAGTCATTGAAGGCTTGTTATTTGCAAAAATAAAAAAAAACATGTCACAATGTGCAGCAATGGAAGTTAATAATGTTTTTCTAGCGGAGGTGATGATCACCTACATACTACTGCTGTGCCTGCTCTGCTGGGTCTTAAAAGGAATACTGTACCTTCCTTAAATAGTTAGTGTCTGCCACATATCAGCAGCTACTCCGTAGCAGGCCTGGGCCAAGACCTTAGCACTGCGGCATATCAATCTTCATTGCCGGAGCTTCTATTCGATCGCATCCATTTATCCTCGATTTTTACCTGATCCCAATGTGCCTTATTCAATAATTTCGACTTAACCACAGGCGGATGCATCCTACTTTCTAAGGTTGTTAAATATATAGGTACTCTTATCATTTGGCCTTTCTCTTGCACACAGCCAACCTATTCTGTGGCGGCCTTTACCCATGATTTCCCCTGTCCCTTTGTCTATGACACTCTGACGAAGCAATGCATATCTGAACGATAATCTATTTTTAGATGTGCAGTGTAGATGGTGCGAAAAGCACTTGATGACGCTGCCTGTTAACTCTGAGAGAATAGGAAAGAGGATGAGCACATCCAGCCTCCATGCTGATTACTCCGCGTACATATTTTCTCTCCCAAACACCAGATCACGGAGTTCAATCTTACAACAACCATCATCCCAGATTCCATTCTCTTACTGGTTGGCGTGCTGATATAGTAGAGACACAGCGAGCAGTGGAAATGTTGTTAGTCCACCAAGTTGGCTATGTCCGTGTGGGTGAGGTTGTCAGGTTCGTGCATGGCAACAAGTTGTTTTTGTTATTCAAGTAGCTTAACCCAGATTCTAATACCATCTCATTGACCTTAAAACAGATATAAATTGACATATACTCCTGCTCTGGACCCGATTCTGCCGACTCCAACCGAGCTTCATGTAAAAGTGAAGAACACATCCGCCATTCCTCTGAGAGCTGCATATCTCCACGGGCCCTATACTCTGTACACAGCTTGTTACCCCTCGACTTTTGATCCAAACCGCAGATACGACCGCTGTGAATTGGAAGGGGCGCCGCAATTTGAGCCCTATCTCAAGGCCGGTGGGACGTGGACTGCAACTATTCCCGTGCCTGAACAGATCCGTCTGACGTCGCAGTCGATTTCAAGTGATACTGAATCCCGAAAAGCTGGTCAGAGTGTAACATGGGTAATTGAGATTGTCTCACAAGTTATATTTTCAACAACAGCAGCTGTTCATTTCGAACTTCTGGTTGGTCGTGACCAGAAATCGCTGAGCCTTGGAGTCAATGGCGGATCATCTATGCCTCCTCCGGCTCACATCCACGATCATCAAATTCCGGGGACACCAAGGGACAGAGCTTTTCCGGTATCAGTCACAAAAGGCGTTTTCTCCAAGTCCGTCAAACTTGTAGTGGATGACACGAAGAGTCTCTGGAGTACACCTCCATTTCCATCTTTGGAGGAAAAAGAAAGTCTCAGAAATGAGGTTCTCCAAAAGGCAAACGACTGTCAAAATCCTCATGGTCCACATGACCGCCAGAGCGCGTCGAACGATGCCATGAAAATGGAGGACGGAGCGAAGAAACAGCAGAAGAAGAAGCGCATACATTTTGTGGTGTTGACCCATGGCCTGCATAGCAATCTCGGTGCCGATATGCTGTATTTGAAGGAAAGCATTGATGCTGCTGCTAGGACGGCTAGGAAGCAGGCAAGAGAACATCGAAACAAAAACAAAGGCCAGGAAAATAGGAAAGATCCTATTCATTCGGAAGGTTACGGGCATGGAAATACAGGCTCTTCAGCCGCTGCAAGCTCTCAGTCCATATTTCATGATAATGGATCTATCGACGACGATCAAGAGGATGATGAGTTCGAGGAAGTAATCGTTCGGGGATTTCCTGGAAATGCTGTTCGTACCGAACGAGGAATCCAGTACCTTGGAAAGCGTCTGGCAAAATACGTCCTGCTTATGACTTACCCAGACCAGCCATATCTCCCTGTCAAGCGCTCCAAGACTAAAAAGACTCAGTCTTTGATGGGTCTTAAAGGATCTTCCGAATCACCTCGAGCCGCATGTCTGTCTGATAATGCTGCTATTCGTCAAAGACAGCTGAACGGCCGAGATTATGCTTATCAGATTACTAGCATCAGTTTTATAGGACATTCACTTGGCGGTCTCATCCAGACTTACGCTATTGCCTACATCCAAAAACATTCTCCCGAGTTCTTTGAACGGATCAAACCAATCAATTTTGTCGCCCTTGCTACTCCATTCCTTGGTTTGAGCAACGAGAACCCCATATACGTTCGTTTTGCATTGGATTTAGGTCTCGTTGGCAGGACCGGACAGGATCTTGGTCTCAGCTGGACAGCTCCGAGGATACGAACTGGATGGAGTGCAATGATCGGTGGTATTCGGAACGATTCGCAGAAACCGCAGAAGCGATCCACGGCGGCGTCCAAACCTCTGCTGAGAATTCTTCCTACCGGGCCTGCCCATCAGGTTCTTCTGAAATTCCGAAATCGCACAATTTACTCAAACGTAGTCAACGATGGCATCGTCCCTTTGCGAACGTCATGCCTGCTATTTCTGGATTGGAGGGGGCTGGATCGCGTGGAGAAGGCCAGGAGGGAAAATGGGCTCGTAGGTACCGTGGCTGAATGGGGTTGGGCTGAGCTTACTGGGGCCAATTCGACCTCACCTGGTGCCAGCCGAATTGGGCCATACACTCCTGTCTGTGATTCAAAGAAGAATATCAAAGATACCGGGGGTGATAAAGAGCAAAGTGAAGCAAACGACGAGTCCTACGATGGCAGTTTCACAGCTTCGCCAACTCGGAATCAATTCCTCAAGAAACCAATGCAAATAGAGCCGTCAGAGATCTCATCAATTGATGCTGAATCTAGGGCTAAAGAGGATTCGTCATCCCAGGGAGTCGGTCCATTCAGCCATTTTTTGTCCCTCTTCCAGTCTAAGGATGCTTGGAGCTCTAACAAGAAACAGACTAAGATATACAAGCGAAGTCAAACTCTTGGCTCTTCAGGCGACTCAAATGCAGTATCTAGTCCAAATACATCACCGCGTCGTCCTGTCGGAGGAGACTCCCTTTACGAGGAGGAGGTTCTAAATGCGCCCCCTAAAACAACTATATTCGAATCAGCAGGTGATGTTCTTAGACCGCCCCTACCTCCAACAGAGTTTATCGTAAATCCTGCTTCACGGCCCCGAACCATCTTCCATGACCGTGTATATCATCCGGAAGACATCCCTCCGCCTTCGATGAAGCGACGGACTACGATCTTTGGTACACCTCGGAGCCCCTTCAGATCTGGATCAAAGCCGCTCACTGACCTCAACGAAGGCTCTGGCCATGGATTACAGTCTACTGAATCATCTGCAAGTGGCATGAAAGTCGAGGAAAAGATCGCGAGAGCATATCACCACAACCTTTCCTGGCGCAAGGTTCTCGTCCGCCTTGAGCCGGACGCACACAATAACATCATTGTACGGCGCATGTTTGCTAATGCCTACGGTTGGCCGGTAATCAAACATCTCGTGGACACTCATTTCGGATATAACCTTGCAGCTGAGACAGATGATGCCATTGAACCGAACATGGATAGGGCCAAACCATTGAATGTGAAGGCGACCGATTCAGGAGAAGAAGTGGTCGGCCAAGCCTGCTCTTCCCAGGCTTCATTCATGGGATTTGCGGAGCAGAATGACGAACACTTACAAGGATCCGGCAATACAGATATCACACGACCTAGGATGTCTGCATATCCCATCGGCGGAGTACCCGTAGCCGCTGCGGAAGATGTTTCTGCAAAGCAAGCTCCCGGGAGCCCAGGCACGCAGTCGGGCAGTTCGGGGACATCGAGACAAGATTCGGCAAAGTGGAGTGACCGTTACTTCTACGATGATGACTCTCAATCCGAGTCAGAAGGTGACGATGATGGCCACTCTGTTTAACTTCGATGCACTCGTGCTGTGATATCTTTTGTAACATTCTTACTGCTGCCCACCAGCAACTGCGGCTTGTATTAATGTATCCCCTACTCCGTACATACCCCCTAGCCTAAACTTCTCTTAACTCATTGCATGTCTGTGTAGTAATTATTGTTTCTGCTTACTATAGCATATATGATTGCCTTAAGAGAGAAAGAGAGAAATTGGTATAGAATCATTACATCTTTGCCTTAAGGGAGAACAGCTTCTATAAAATAGATATGCAAGATATACCTTGATGTGAGGCAGAAAGTTGTCAACCATCTGTTGTCAGGAAGTAGTCAATGATCTCGAGATCATCGAATCCTTGAAGCACTTCTGCCAAAGGGAGGATCAGTTGTGACAAAAGATTGTTGCCTGCCCCGATTTCGTCTACTTCTCGGCGTCGATCGGTCTGGAGGAGGAGACGGCGTATTGGTACGAAACCCCCAGATATCGTTTTCTGTTGTGGCCTGCCCACCATGATGAGCGGGTCCAGCATTATAACCCGAGACATTCGGTGTATAGTTGAAATGTTCGTTTAGGAAGTGAGCCGTTGCATTTCCAAAATCCAATATCCCATGATCTGCTTGCCTGGGAGGGCGATCGTCGTCATCCACGGCAAGTAGCTGTAATCGTCGAGCAAGAGCTTCGTCTTGCCGTTCCTGCTCTCTTCTCATATCCAGTTCATCTTGATAACGCATGCGATTCCTCTGGTCTCCTCCGTTCTCGTCATCGAAAGCTCCGATTATCTGAGGCACGTTCATGTAATTCAGCCTGTCGCCTTCTCCAGTGGTATAGTTGAACCATGGACAATCACACGTTTTCCACTTTGATCCGCAGATCATGCAAAACTCAGCAGAGCAGCGACATGTCATATGATTGCATCCCTCCTTTAATTCGACCATAGCGGAACAATTGTAACAGCGTTGCCAGCCCTTTTCCTTTGCCATTTCCACAAACCTCTTGGTATCTTCGTCTTTGGGGCAGTCCTTTCCTGAATGCCATTTGCCATTGCAAATGCAGCATACCTTTGTTTTGCATCGACTACATTTTCCATATTTGCGACCGCCCGTGGCTCCAGAGCTAGTGTCGACAAAGATATGATTTGGCTTAATCCATTCCCCACAGCCTTTAGCGGGGCAATATATTCGATTTTTCGTCGTGTATTCTTGATATTTACGGTTCCATTTCATTTTGAATTTCACATCGAAAAGCTTTTCGACATGCTTGAGAGGAATATGGTCGGATGTGCAGCACTTCGGTGGCATATGTTGCGGATCAGTCACAGACATGATGAAGATCCGTTTCAAACATGCATGACACATTCGATGTGAGCATCGGAGCTTTGCAGATTTGCTTACTGGGATATCGTCAGATAGACAGGCAAGACATGTTATCCTGGCCTGTAAGTCAGCGAATGTATATTATCAAGGGTGCTTGTCTAGCATGCCTCTTTTCCGGCTGAGTATGGTCTGGGACTCCAAAAACAAGAGAAAAAAACCAGCAGATTTACGGCTCCCTTTGTTTGGAGAAGCGATCCCCTCAACTTTATCTTCCGAAGGTTTCTTCGCAATTGTTGTTGAAGGTCGGGAGACATGACGCCTGCCCTGACGACGGTTTTGCGTAGGATCGAAGACGGACAACCTCTCATTTTGAGAAGCATGTCTGTTACAATGTAAGTAGAAGACCCATTAAGCCGAAGAAATCGGGTCCATACCTATGCAGGTCCGATCTACCGCTTTTCGCCGGCTGTTTTCCAGAGGACGCGAAGGATGCTCCATTGGTGCGCTTATGGCCCGTTTCCGACGATTTCCTCCTCGTCTGAGTTTTTTGTCCAGACGTGATGTTTCTGGACGGCCGAGGGCTGGTCTTTTTAGACCTTGGATCCATATAGCCACTGTTTCCCGTTTCCTGCGAGGAAAAGTGAAGTGTTTTTGATTCGTTTTGACCCTTGAGGTGTACTTTAGAACACGTTTCCCTTCGTTCTTGTCTTGGAATATTACCCGATATCACCATCGTCAGCTTCACCGGATCATGTGTTCGAACACTTTGCTGTTTGGGTTCGAGATTGCGAGATATGGCAGCGGACGGAGCACGTTCCTCTGATGAGGCCTCGGCTTTGAGTCTGGTATTCGACTTTCGGTCTTGCTGGTGCACGGTATTGAATACAGAGCATTTAAAAAGCACAAGAACCACTGTTTAAATGCACAAGAAAGGCATGTATGGACTGTTTGGTCGGATACTCAGCTTCTCACTTAACAAGGCAAAGGAGAAGGGACAAAAGGGCGGTCCTGCTTAAGTCGAGACACGTAGCTCAGAGGGATCTCACACTGTACAGCGAATGCAATCTGTTGCAAGAGGAGTAAGCCGTAAGCACAAGATTTATTGTTGGCACTGCCCTTACCAGTCCCTTTATATGTCCGTGTAATTCTTTTCTCACTGTCCCAGCTGACTCACGACTTGTCTCACAATGGTCTAGTTAAAATTAACATTGACCTCTCCAGGTCACAAGCTCACTACAAGGATCCAGGAGTAGTGACAGGAGAGGATTGCCGTTTGGTTGTTCTGAAGAGTAAAGGGACTGGTGTTTTCTAGAAGAAAATGTGAAATAGATATTATTATAACAAGTGACTCAATTATCCTGGGGAACATGTATTGGCGATAATGACCTGTTCAGCTATTACCTCTGCAGGCATCGTACTCTGCAGTTGCTTCAGCTGGTGAGTTGGCTGATGAAGTGTCGAGTGTGTGGCCAGTGACTTTGAGTCGCTGAGTTGCAGCCCCAAGCCACCCAGCACCAACAGGAGTGAGACAACTCACACATCATGCCTAGTTAATCAATGCAACATTCTACTGGTTATCATGATATTGCCAGTCTATTCTGTGCCGTCGAATCTAATTCATTCGAGCTGCATAAGATCAAATCCCTGTATTACGTCATCTAGTTAAGGAATTCACATAGTTAACTAACGCTCAGGCCGACAGGAGAACGCTCACTTTGCAAGGAACTACTGGCTAATATTCAAGCCGACCTTGGATATGACTCCAGAATTCCTCCACAATTTCCTTCTGACCTTGCCCGTTAGGTGAAGGCCTGACAGCCAAGTAGGTTCGTCCATCGAGCTCGGCATCCCATTTACCGGGATTTCCACCCACCACGATACCGCCCGCCTCTGTCAATATGACCCATCCAGCGCAGACATCCCATGCCCAGCATCCACCTTCCCAGTATAAATCGAGCGTCCCTGATGCTACAGCACAGAGATTAAGGGCAGCAGATCCCATACTCCGTATTGAATGGACCATTGCCCCGCCATCCTCCCGGGTTTTGCCTAGATTCTCGAATGTACGAACTTTTGTCTCCCAGTTTCGGCCACTACGATCGGATCCCCATTCCAAACCAATGAGGGCATTATTGAGACCATTCAGAGGTTCGGTGTCGGTGCCCTTCAGCGGCAGGGGGGTCTTGCGGTTGAGGAACGCTCCTTGGCCATGGATTGCAGAGTAGAGCGTTTCTGTAAATGGATTGTATACTACCCCGACGACTGGTTTGCGGTTTACTGCAAACCCTAGGGAGATGCACGAACTAGGAAAGCCATGCACGAAGTTCACAGTACCATCAATGGGATCAACGATGAAAGTGGGAGCATCCGTAAGAGGGTGTGCAGGATCATAAGTCTCTTCTCCATGAAAGCTGGAAAAATGAGAAACAAAAAAAAGCTTCTGTTAGTAAAGAACTGAGTATCGTCATGAGACCCAGGAGCATGCCATACTCGTAATTTGGATAGTGTGTCTTCAAGGCTTCGGAAACCATCCTTTCAACAGCGCGGTCATACTCAGTGACCAGATCGGAACCTAGCCACGTCTGTCAATATATTGACATCCTTCCCTGTTGGCCTTTTTTTCTCCTGTCAGGTCAATTGTGGTACAAAGGGTACTCACTGTTTTTCTTTGAGCCGGTCGAATCAATTCGTGGCAAGCTGCTGGTAATTACTTTGCCTGCCTTAATTGCCAGATCAATAAGGAAGTCATGGATTTCTTGCAGATTCGGGTCTGCGTCGTTTTTGCTTGCCATGCTTGATGTGTTCAACTAATAACAGCAATGCTGATAAAAATAGTGTTTTGTGGTGATGACGATGTTGTTTTTGTGAGGCAGTAGTTATAATATGGAGTAGTGCCAGCGGGGTTATTTTTCTAAGGCGTCTCAATTTAACACTGTATCAGAGGAACATTCTAGGACCCTGGACGATAGGCCCACCCCGCGAGCATTGTACTCCGTCCGGAGAACACAATGTGAATTCCTTCCTTAGGGCGGGGCAAAGAAATAGATAAGTCGTCTCCTTATCGCTGCTGCAGTCACCAATATCCAGTGATATATATGTAAACTGGAATGTTTATAATTTCTAATTCAAGATCGGATTTAGCTAATCTCAGATCAGTGGTCAAATTGCATTTACATTGGCGTATCGAGTTGCTTGAATCCTCAGGAATAGAAAATGGTTCAATCGATACGATAGTCCCCACCAATGATAAATAAATCTGAGGAATCTTCCCCACCGGAAGATAGAAAAAAAATACTCCGTATTCCATCAGTTATACAAAATACTTTCATGAAAACCACCAAGGAAAAAAAAAGCGACAGCATTAATTCTCTCCTAGTAGACTACCTCCCGCCGAGTAGGATTAGTTAGCAGGTGGTGGCAAGACCAGTAACCTATCTATTTCCCGATTATCGACAATATGCCAACTGAACTGGAGGAGGTGAGTTTCTTGTCCATTCGAGAAACACTTTTACTAATTATATAAAATTGTTCTACAGCTTGTCGAGTTTCTCCATCATGGTAACACGCAGATAAGGCAAGTTGGTATGGTTTGCTACATCTTGCTGGATTGAGAATGACTTTAGAGACATTGATTGACCATGTATTTTTCCCGCTATTAGCATGTGAGAATCTCGTCGGCTTCTCCACCGCTCAGCCGTCTCTATTCAAAAGACAACAGCTCGTACCAGTGCGGGACTTGAAGCTTCTAGTTCGGGATTACGCTGTTAGTTATTGCTTCATGTGATGAATGATCTATTTTATTCCCATTTCCTCTACTGACAACTTTCGGCGGAGAAGCCCATCGCAAAGAATGCGTTGACGATGCTGATCAACCTCTCGGCTGACGAGGAGGTTCTAAAAAATCTCGCCGAGGATGATGCCTTCCTAGAAACCCTTCTGGTCAAAATAACGGTCAGTTCTCTGCCGGACTTAACCACTTACGGTCGCTGACTATCTTGGACCAGAACCCCAAAGAGCCAAATGCAAACGAAGTTGCGATGTTACTGGCCAATCTGGCCAAATCGGATAGTCTCAGGCGAATCATAACCTTGACCAGGAAAGTGCCGGATTCAGTCTCCGGCTCGAAGAGAGCCATGGATCAACTCATGGATTGCTTTGTTAAAGGCGCAGAAGGCTCCTTGAACAAGAATGCGGACTATGATTATCTGGCATACTTCTTTGCGGACCTCTCCAAGTCCGAGGAAGGTCGCGCTTATTTCACAACGAGACAAGAGTATGATTCGGTGGTGCCGATCTCTAAACTTGTCGTCTTTACGGAGCACAAAAGCGATATTCGAAGACGAGGGGTAGCCTCAACGATTAAGAACGTGGCGTTTGATATTCCGTCGCATCCCATGCTGTTTGCAGAGGATGGAGTGAATTTGTTGCCGTATATCTTGCTGCCAATCATGGGGCCGGAGGAATATGACGACGACGAGACCGCAGCGATGCTGCCGGATCTGCAGCTACTGCCGCCCGATAAGAAACGGGATCCTGATCCTCACATCATTTTGACGCATTTAGAAACGTTACTGTTGTTGACAACTACGAGGGCAGGTCGAGATAGAATGAGAGAAGTGCAGGTATACCCTATCATCCGCGAATGTCATCTTCATGTGGAGAATGAAGAGGTCCGAGAAGGTTGTGATAGATTGGTCCAAGTGTTGATGCGTGGTGAGGAGGGTGAGGAAAATGATGCTGAGAAGGAAGCCATGGCCAGAGCAAGAGCTTATGCGCTGGCCCAAGAGTCTCAAAAGCAGGATGAGGACGAGGATGAGAAAATTGTCGATATTTGTTGATACTAGACCACTGCTCTGTAGACTTGAAGGCTTTTTCGAAATTAATATATAATATATATACATTTGGTGAAATAATAAATGTACCAGCTACTATTTGGATTCACTCGGAATCTAGACAGACTGGAGGTTATCCTCGCTTAAACATTTATTTTAGCATAACTGTTCCTCCCTTAAAAGCCCGTATTCTTTTAATTCTTTGAATGGGACGGACTGAGCTGAACTGGATGGCAGGAGATGAAATTAATTCATTAATTCATGTAAGAAGGACAAGGAGAGCAAAAAAAAAAGAAGATAGAAATATTACATATGTTGCCCTTTATTTAAACACAATTTTGTGAACGCACGCCTAAACGCCTCTCAATCCATCATATCCCGGCGTTCTTTTTCTCATAGAAAGCAAAACGAACCGCAACAGACAATACTCCAGATCCAATCGACCTTATTCTCAGAAGGGCGGAAACCCACTTTACTTGGTATTTGTACCACGCTGGATTCCGATAATGAAGTGCGTGTATGTCGAAATAACAAGTACACAACTAGATGGACAAGGCTGCGACTGCCTTTGGGAGATCTTCTTGTGGAGATTGTTGTTTTATGTCCACATGCCCCGCTGCCGGCTGCTGCTGAGATAGTGGAATCAGCATATCATCAATTGGATGTGCCCCTGGCCGATGATTCGACTTTTGCTGAGTGGACGCTTGGTCAGGAGTCTCCCCTTCAACTGCATGAGTCAAAGGACTTCCAATCTCTGGTGACTCCCATTCGGAATTGTCACGAGACCGCGCCCGTCGTCTCGGATTGCGGTGAGCGTGTTCTTCGGGCTCAGCGAAGAAATCTTCACCGACATCCCCTTCGTCGGTTCGCCATTCCCAGCCGACTCCCGGAATGTCTTGAACACGATTGATTATTGCATGTGCTCGACGAAATTCGCGCCTGATAGCAACGAGCCCGGACTGAACGACCGTTCTTCCAACATTATGATCATGTTCGAAAGGATCCTCAATGGCAAGGAGGTATTTGTGCCTAGTGCCGTTTGCATCCACCTTTGCCGCTGTCCATCCTTTCTCCGATTTGGTGAGAATTCCACCCCGTGTACGAATTGAAACCACACTCTTCACCCAGTCGAAACCCCCAAGAGGTGCACCTCGCCCATTTGAGGCGTAGTAAGCGAAGAAACCGCGTAGCAGATCGCCAAGGGGTTGTCGATTGTCGGTCCATGCATTTGCTTTAGCCCGTGCCTTAATTTCATTTTCGTCATTGAAGAAGCGAACGTCACATCCATCCACAGTAGTAACTTCCTTAGAGCCACGCCCAGGAGGGGGAGGCCGGTAGATGATCTGGAGATTGGGGAGAACCGGCGGCCTCACCACGTTTGTAAGATAATGTATTACCATTAAGATGTAGCCGTAGGAGCATAATGTCCCGTGATACGGGTTGTTGATTTTTCGTGCCTTGGCCCATTGTTTGACAAAAAGCCCGACTAGACGGACGCGCTCGTCGCACAGTGAGTAACAACGGAGCAATTCCGAATTATAGATTGCAAGACGACCCGAGAAATTGATGTCACACTGGATCCCGGCCTCTGATGAGGGGAACTGGACACTGACCTTGTTTCTGCGGCTGCAATGACCGCGGCCGGCATCGGCATCGTCCGAATTGTGCGCGGGGCCTGAAGACGTCCGACTGGGGTCTTTGTCGGATGAGGTGGCGTCAACCGATTCTCCTTCCTCTCGAGACTTCAGGTCCGCTCTCAGAGCTTCCAGAAAATCCTCAGAGGGCTTCTCACACAGCTTGATGATGGGGACTCTGGCTTTCGATATCAGACGCGCTCCAAGACCAGCATCCAGGAAAGCCTTTTCGAGAATTCGAGGGCACTCTGCTTCCAGCTCTTTGGGAAAGCTTGAAGCACGGGTGATCATTGTCAAATCCATATCGGCACCAGGGAGAGCAAATCCATTGCGCAGACTGCCGAAACACTTGAAGTCGATGGCATTCGGCCCCACGGTGAGCCCACGGCTCTCTGCATGGCGTGCGATGGCGTTTTGCGCAATTTCTGTCAGGCGGACACGGAAGGCCTCTTTAGCCTGAAGTTCACATTTAAAGGAGTCCAGAGGGGGAATGTCAAGAGCCAGGCTTTCGAGGTAGTTGATCTGCATCTGAATTCTCCGCTTCGGATCTGACTGCTGATCACCGAAACGCGTCCTGGGAGCGCGATTGTTTGAATAACGGGGCCCGGCTGGAGTCGAAGGCACGGGCCGATAAGAGACGACACCACTGTCGACTTGTGGGCTAGGTACTGCACCCACAGACCCCGAAGGAATGCGTCCATGGATATCTGGATAATGTGCCCGGTAGGGGTCAGAAACCTGAGGCGAGGCTGTTTGAGTGCTGTTCTGGTGATAGAAGCCTCGGCCAAGATGGTCCTGGCTAGGATGATGATAATGCTGTGGTTCAACTTGATGGCGTGGATCAAGGTAAGGGGCGGGCATGGGCAGCACGGGTGGAATGCTAGGACCGCCTGATATGGCATTTTTTGCATCTGGAAGCTGCCTCTCCACCGCAGGCCGATGCCGGGCCTTCAGTTGATGACTCGCATGAATCAGCATCGAATAAACGTGTGGAGGAAGGCCACCATGGCTTTCAGCAGGCGGATTGCAATGGAGGGCTTCCTGATGTCCTGGTCCCATCATAGCTGGTTGTGAGGGGGCTGAACCTGGTATGGAGTGCCTATGTGACCATGGAGTAGATGGCGGTAGGTCCCATGCGGAGGCTGTTCCCGACTGAGCTGTTTGAGACATGATACCAACTGAACAGTGGGGTCAAGATGTATCTGAGTGACCAGAAACCTGAGGTCTGGTGAACTGGAAATGAGAGACAAGAGCAGGGGTCACAAACAAGAGGTAAATTTTTGCTCTTGCACACTTCTAGGAGAGAGTCAGATGTAGGACAGAGCCCATTGATGGTAGAGATGGAGAGACAGAGAGTGTACGACAGTCACCAACAGTGAGAATAGGTTCTTATGAAGTTGAGTAAAAAAGGTAAAGGGTGGGACACGCTGGAAATCTAACTGGGAGATTGTGATTTGGAGAATTGACAGAACCCAGAGAGGATAGTGAGATCTGACAACACATTTTTGAGAGCAACTGCTATTGGGACAGGGTCGACAATGGCCGGAAATTTCATTCTTGGGAAGCGAAAGTGAAGGAACAGTGCGGCGTAAGGAGCAATACGCCTGGAAGAAGAGAGCCTGGGGAACTCACGTAAGAGTCATCAAACTAACCCCATGTGCTGGGACCTATCTTCAAAGCCATCCATGGGTGGGATGACTGCAAGGCTCTCTACCGCGCGCTTGTCCCGCCTGTTGACGCCTGCGGTGAACCTGCCAAGAAGTGTGACGCCACCCACGCCTGAGGCAACCCAGGACGCTGCAATCACTACTCCGTACAGCGGAACCCAAGGCGACAAAGAACCACCCTCTCTTCAACCAGCTCCCTGCCGCTGCAAACTCCCAGCATCTTCTTCGGGAGTGGCATTCCTCCCTCTGCAGTAATTTGATCTATTGTCGCCTCACTGTCGAGGTTCAGCTTCCTTGTCTTGTTGTCATTGGCGTGGCACAGGCGCGGTTTCCAGCGATCGCTGGACCGACTTCAACATCCATTTCCCAACTGAGGGCATCTCTTTCTCACCTTGCTTTTTATCCCTTCCTGCTCCTATCCTCCCGAAATGGATACAACTACTGATTCTAACGCCGTTCGCACACCAACCGGTGCCGATGGCCCTCCAGTGATGAGAATTCGCCGTCCCAGGCCTGCAGATCCTCTGGTACGGCCGAAGAAGAAACCTCCTCCCAAACCTGTTACTGGGCAACCTGCAAAAGCGCCAACAAATGGAGTGGCAGCTCCCAGGCCACCACCAGCTGCACCAGCTGCACCAGCTGCGTCCAAGACTCTGCCTGGGTCCCAGTCGGATAGAATCCAGCCTATTCCTGGACGAGACGACGTGACTGTGAATGGATTTAGTGGTCCGCTGCTTTCCCAAACTTACGTCGACTATCCCTTAGTTACTACAAAACGGGCATGGCGGGAAGGACTGAAGCACCATGTCGCCAAGTTTGCCTCCAAAAAGAACATCGATCCGCGCGATGAGTCTCAGTTTACACGACCCGTTCGACTTCAGCGTCGCGATCCCAGAGCCAAGCCAGGTAGCATCAAAGCGGAGAACGCCAATAAAGTACCGACGGAAGGTGGTAACGGACTAGATGACGCCGAACGCGAAGAACTCGAGGCCAGAAAGGCTGCTCGAGAGAAGGAGCGTGAAGAGAACCTTGCGCAGATCGCGCCATCAGTTGCAACGACGCAAAAGCGGACCAATGTGCCCAAGCAGAAAACCCAGTATGTTCCTAAAGCGGACATGACCCCGGAGGAAATTGCGAAGGCACGGATCAAGTATGAAGAAGCCTTGCCGTGGCACCTCGAGGACTTTGATAATAAAAATACGTGGGTGGGGAATTATGAAGCGGCTCTATCGGAGACGTATGCGATGTTCGTTCTTGAGGATACGGGCAAAATGAGGATGGTCCCCATTGATAAGTGGTATCGGTTCAACGCGAAGAACCCGTTCAAAACGTTGACTATCGAGGAAGCCGAAAAGTTCATGGCTAAGAAGATCAAAGACCCGAGATGGTTTATGGAAAAGCAGCAGGAGATGATGCAGCAGAAAGAACTGGAGGCTTACGCAAAGCAACGAAAAGTGTATCGGGGCAAAGCCGCCGCTCCAACCCTCGGCGAAACATTGGAAGCCGATGAGATGGATTTTGAGGAAGATCGATTTGCCGACGATGAAGAAGTCGACAATAGTCTCTTCGAGGAGGACGAGGAGGCGAAGGCGGCTGAAAAGAGAATCAAACAAGACCAGCTCAAAGCTAACGTTTTCAATCTGAAAGATGAGAGAGATTACGAGGAGGAGGAAGAGAGAGAGAGGAGAGAAAGAGAAGCTCGCAGGATTCTGGGCAGAAAGGTCCGGAAAGCCCTTCAAAGGCGAGAGAAGAACTACGACTATAGCAGTGGTTCGGACGTCAATCCATACTCGGATGATGAGGTATACCGCTCTCACCCATCGCTCTCACTAAAAAAAGTCCCTACATTCCTGTTTGCTGACTCAAGTTTCTGCCACAGAGTTCTGATGATAGTGAGGACGAAGGGATGCGAGAAGAAGAACGGAAGGCGGAAGAAGACAAAGCGCTCAAAGAGAAGGGCAAAGAATCGGGCACTTCTACTAAAGGGACGAGTACGCCATCCGGCCGTACAAAGCACACAGATGCCTTGAAAAAGGCCACCAACGCGGCGGCCCGCAAGCGAACAGGCTCTCCAAATCTCTCAGATGCCAGTGGAACAGATTCCTCGCGAAAGAAGCCGAAACATGTTTCGTCCTCTCAGCCGACAGCCCAGCCAGGTTCCCGTCCAATGTCACCCTCTCCGTCATCTGCGTTGCCGGTGAGTTCAGAACAGTTGCCACGAGAGTGACCATCCAGGTCTCTTGCTGACTATTCCAGGTTGGTAAGAAACGTATCCGGAACGTCGGCCCCGGTGGTGCTGGTTCTGGCAGCGATGTCGACGGTGGCGCTGGTTCCGGTGGTGATATGAGCGATGGTGGAAAGACCAAGAAGCTCAAGCTTAACCAGCCATTGTCGTCTTCACAGAATGGCACTCCCCAAGGGTCACGGTCAGGGAGCCCAGCGCCTAATGCAGGAACTTCGGAAGGTGGTCCTTCTGCAAAAGGTATGCGAATTGTCGTTTGTTCATGCGGCTGGGTCTTTCTTGTCAAAACGTCAAATCAGAAAATACTGATAATTCCTTTCTAAAGCAGGTCCTGCCAAGGGCTCAACTCCTCGATCTGCGGCTCAGCAAGGCTTTCCTACCCCCGCGGAAATACACGCCGCAATTCCTCCTTCCGGTATTCTTAGTAGAGATCTGCTGAAGATCTTCCATCCGCGTATTGGTGATTCCAAAGAAAACCACCGCAAATTTATCGCAATTGTTAAGGAAGTCGGGGTCTACGGAAAAGAGGACAGGTTATTGCGGCCTGGTGTTTTGAAAGACACCCAGCAGTGATTGGTGAGATGATTGTGTTGATGTACCAAAAATTGTCGTCTAAAGACGCACTCAAGGTTTGTTGTTCCACCCAGTATGACATGATGTAGTTTAATGTAATACATATTATTTTCCTTCTAATCTATGTTACTTAACGGCTTTTGTATACCGCCCGAACGTAATGTTCGGAATCGGAGATACCTTCCAATAGAATAATAGCAAATTTCAAAAAAAAAAGGAAGCGAAAAAGAGAAAAAAAAGAGAGAGAGGTTTTCAGGTTTATGAAGTTAGTAATTTGTGAAACACTGTAGGGATCATCGGGAGAAAAGTCGAGGGATAATTACAAAGACCATAGGCGAAAAGTAACAGACCAGACATCTAAGATATGACACTTTCCTGCTTCTGTTTACAAGGCAGAATTGAAAACTCATTGCCACCCCATGTTGTTTAGCTGGCTTATGCGGCTATGGACCAGAGAAGAGAGACTCTCGTCATCATATATAGATTCTAATCTATTCAAGAACGAAACTAAATCATATTACGACATTAAGATCACAATCAAGGGGAAAACATTTACAGGGAATCATCATTAGAGATATGAAAACATGACAAAGAATTCTTATACTGCGGCGGTACCGGTAGAACGGGTGGTAGCACCGTCCTTAGCATCCTCATACTTATCCCAGTTGGCCAGAACGTTTGCAATGCGAGGCGAGCCCGTCAATCTGTAGACATCCTCGAAATACTCCTTTGTAATCTCGAACGGCCGGGCGGTGACGTTGGGAATATATTTCCCAATCAACTTGCTAGGATCAATTGTGGTCTTGTTGATTTTCTTGAGAAGGAAGGACCGGAATGGCTTGACACCAGAGCGCAAGAATGTGCTGTGGAAGGGGACGTCGATACCACGGAGAGGAATGGTGGCAAAGCCACGTTCCAATGTGATAGGCTGCGGCTTTGCCTCAGTCTGCTTTACGCACTCATGAATTATTTGGACAAGATGCGCTTTGACATCGTCAAGGGACATTTTCTGCATAAGTGCCTGGATGTCGATTTTCTGCGCCTTCAGCACGTTGAGTAGGTTTGTCAAGCAGTCAAGAGCACGAAGCTGAGAAAAGAAAGTCAGCACAATCAGTCAAAAAAAAA